CTTGTTCGATGTTAATGGTTCTAATGCCAAGACGCGGTTCTGTTTTCTAAACCGGATGGGCCGGAAAGTGAAGCTTTTTAAAAAGAAAACCAATTTCACTGACGATATTGTATGGTTAAAATAAATTCAGTTCCATACTCATGTTTGTTTTATTTTACATCGACGGATATGTTGTTTATAAAATTGTTTTAAGATTTTAATATTTATTGTGATGAAATATGCTATATATACATATCTTCCAACTGTGGATGAATCCTTTCCAAAATATTAGTGGTCTAAGAGCAACCGCAGCGTGTAGTCTCTCACTACATTTCTCCAGGGCAAAATATATTAATGAATTGAAAACCAAGAGAAAGATGATAAAAAGGATGAAAGAGAGGAAAGAACATCTCTCTGCAACCATACTCTCCATCAGTTATTAAAGGTTTATTCTACCGATGTCACAATATTAATAGACAACTTAGAGCATCATTAACCCTAACACCCCTAATGGGGTGCTTAATCACTTTTTTATTAATAAATGGTGTTAAGCACTCTATTTAAGCAATCTCATTATTTTTGTCCTCCAACCCTAGCACCCTCAATTGTTTCTTTACATGATAACAAATGCAAATAGATGTATGTAAACTGATAAGCGGCGCTGCTTCTCTTATTATTTTCTTTTTCTTTTTTTTTTAAATCAAAAATTCATTAAGCACCCCATTAAGCGCTTCCGTTAATGGTGCTTTTACATTTAAAATTTTAAACTTAATTCAACAATCAATTTACATAAAAGCTAATATTATTATAGTTTTGAGAAACGTTCATACTTTTTGAACCAATGCTAATGCTCTAAGCTGTGATTGCGTTGAACTAAATTCTAAATATATAGTTATGTAAATTAGAGTATGGTTCTTAAATTGATGTCAATAAATAATATTAATATAGTTTTTCATCCAATATATACATATTATATATACATTATATATATGTATATATGTATGTTTATATATAGAGAGAATACAGACAATTTCGTCCACTAGTAAGGTTTTAAATAAAATCTAGAGATGGGGTCAAATCAAGTAATGTACAGTGCATTCGGTGCCAAAAACAGCAAAACTTTTTGCGTTTATCTTATGTCGGAAGATGGCATAAAAGATAGATAGATATCATTGTAAAAGTAAGCAACCGATATAAAAGATACGTGGGAAGATATGTCATCGACCTGTCATATAAAAATCTAAGTATCATATTTGTTTGGGATATGTGTAATTTTTTATTTTTTTTGTAATGAGCAACCGATTTAAAGGAACACATTGTAAAGTATAGTACATCACTTAAGATTATTGATTTCTCCGGCCTGTATTAACTCAAATCTGTACATTTCAAAATTGTCATAGTTTCTTTTCAAACTAATTTAGGCAGTGACTGTCATGGTTTATTTTTAAAGAAGATCGAATTTTAAAGAATGTATATATGACGGCAGTTGTCCTCGGAATATCAGGTACCTCTTTTATTTTTAATGGGTTTTGATCGTAAATGGGTCGTTTGGATTATGTCATATATTATCACTGTCACTTTTTCAATGTTACTAAATAGAAGATTTCATGGTTTTATTAAACCTGAAAGAGGAATACGTCAGGGTGATCCCTTATCTCCTTTTTCATTTATCTTATGTGCTGAAACTTTAGTACATGTTTTAAATAGAGCTGAAGCCCAGAAAAAGTTACATGGTATAAAGTTAGCTAAAGATAGTCCTTCTGTCCATCATTTGCTTTTTGCGGATGATAGCTTACTCTTATGTGAAGCCTCTATCAAGAATAGTGTAGAAATTTTGGATTGTCTGAAAATCTATGGAGAGGCTTCTGGGCAAATGATTAATCCTTTGAAGTCTTCTATCATTTTTGGGAAAAACGTAGCCGAAGATACAAAAGAAAATATAAAAAGTTTCTTGGGTATTGACAAGGAAGAGGGTGAAGGTTCATACCTCGGTCTCCCTGAATGTTTTCAAGGATCAAAAAAAGATCTTTTAAATTTTATCAAAGAGAAATTAGAAGGTCGACTACAGGGTTGGTACTCCAAAACTTTATCAATGGGGACAAAGAAGTTTTAATAAAATCGGTAGCTTTGTCCCTCCCAATATATGCAATATCAGTCTTTCGGTTACCAAAAGGCCTTTGTGAACGAATCACGAGTGCGATTATTGAGTTTTGGTGAAGTAGTGGGGACAAGATCCCCTGGGTTTCTTGGGAAAAATTGTGTAAACCCAAAGAACAGGGAGGGCTTGGGTTTCATGACATTGGTCGTTTCAATCAGGCTTTGCTTGCTAAACAAGCTTGGCGAATTTGGAATAATCATGATTCTTTGGTCTCTCGCATTTTGAAAGGCAAATACTCTAAAAACGGAAATTTTCTGGAGTGTGGTATGGGGACACGTCCATCATATGCATGGCGGAGTATCATGCACGGTAGAGAATTATTAAAACAGGGTTTATACCGACATATTGGCAATGGGGTTAATACCAATGTTTGGGCTGAAAATTGGATTATTGATACTATTCCTCGGCCACCAATATACCGGGAGAATAGTTCCATAAATCTAGCGCTAAAAGTTTTAGACTTATTTGTGCAGTGATCGAACCAGTGGGATATTAATTTATTAAATCAAACATTTACGACACAGGATGGTCAAAGGATCTTATTTCTAAAACCATCACTGTTACTTGAAGATACAATTAGATGGGGTTTCACAACAAGTGGCTCATATTCGACTCGAAGTGGGTATAAATTGTTAGAGGCTTTGGTCGACTTTGATCATCCTCCAGAGCACTCTCTCACTCCTCTTGAAAAAAAATTATGGAAAGAACTATGGAAGGTTAAAACCCCACCAAAAATAAAACATTTTATGTGGCGCGCTCTATCTGGTGCTTTAGCGGTAAAACAACGTTTGAATACTCGGGGGATTCCGATAAACCCAACATGTTCAGTATGCGGTAATGCGGCAGAAAGTATATGTCACGTTCTCTTTACATGTTCGAAAGCACGTGCTACTTGGGAACAAGCTAATTTCCCCATACCTTTAGGTGGTTTTTCTCGGAATTCAACATTTTTAAATTTTGTGCATCTTATCATGATTGTCAAAAAATCAACAACGGATATTCATACAAGGAATTTTTTCCCTTGGTTGTTATGGGAAATTTCGATTGTTTTTGAAACCAAAGATATCGAGACTTCTTTTATTGCTAAGAAAGCCTATGAAGAGGAATCAACATGGTCCGATACATTTTCAGGAGCAAAGGATAATGTTTTGGAGGCTCCTTTTGTAATGATTCGATGGCAAAAACCACCCAAAGGTTTCCTCAAATGTAATGTTGGTTCCTCTTGGTTAAACTCTAACCGTCATAGTGGTGCTTCATGGATCTTATGAGATGAAAATGAGTGTACAATTATGCATAGCCGTCGGTCTTTTTCTTATATGCGCACAAAGACTGAGGCTGATTTGTGGTCTCTTTTTTGGGCGGTGGAATGTGTCCACAATCTGTATTTCTCAAATATCATTTTCGAGACTTCCTCCGAGACCCTCTATGACGCACTTACACATCCAAATGACCAGCTCATTTTCAGCCATATTCGTCACAATATTTCTTTTCTCCTCGCTAGGATAGATTTATGAAGTTTAGACCACGCAGTTCCAGAGCGCAATGAAGCAGCAGACGCTATTGATATAAGTGTCACTCGCGATAACCGTCACCAGTCTTACATCGCCCGTAATGCACCCGTATGGCTTCATCACCTACTTGCTTTGAGGCTCAGTTATAAGGTTTTGGGTGAGGTTTCTTTTTCGTTATCTGTTGATGTCTAATGATATCTCCTATCTTCTCTGTTTTTCCTTTTGTACTATTTTGAACCTTCTTTGTACCATTGCACCAATGTTATAAAAAAAAAATCAGGTATCTCTTATGAGAATTGAATATCGAACAAGCCGCTCTATACTACAGTACAGATGGGTCTTGCTTAATTTAATAATAACATATTACCAAAACTTCATTACTAAAACTGTAAACCATAATCTTAAGCAAAGATATATTTTACGAGTACTCAAACTCAAGGTTTCTGAAATTAGAAAGAAGAAAAAGAATTTTGCTTTCATGGTCGGCATGATAAAGAAAGCTAAAACATACCGACCATCCTGTCCTTTTTCCAGCTCTCAAATTTCCAAGAATATCCCTCGATGCAGTAAGACGATAACTACCGAGTTATCACTATAGATAAGTATACAGTCCGAGTAACAATAAGAAGAAGCAGATAAGCATATACATACATATATTTATATACTTGTCATTTACTAGTTACTACATTTCATTGATGATTTCTTGGAGTGAATATTTCATATATGCTGGTGAATGTTGGGGAGTGGAGAAGATAACGAATGCTCTCAGCCCTATGACTATATAAAGTCTTTAAATTACCTATTTCCTACATAGATACTGGATTATATTTTTTGTAAAATTGAAAAAACATTAGATAAATAATTTGAAAGGTTCTGTTGTCAATTTTTTTTTTGTGTTGTTAAAATGCAATATATATATATATATATATATATATATAATTACAGTTAAACTTATCAGTTATCACTACAACAACACAACTACGGTTAGTTCAATCGGTAAAATGAGACTGCTTCCACAATTAACCACTGAATCCATATCCAAAAGTAAAACCAGCTGGTTTTTAATAAGTTAACGATTTTAAAATTAAAGATTACCAGAAAATAAAAAGTTTAGCATAATTCAGCCTAATTCGTTTTAGCTGTCAGCCTAATTCGTTTATACGATTTCTTATGCGTAAGGAAACGAAAATTAAGTTATTAATTAAAATTAAAACGTATTTTCATGTGGATGTAATGATCCCACGTGTCATGTAATAATTCGTTAATACACATTGTGTCTTCTCTATCTGACTGGACATGACAGATCATCCAAGCAAATCAAATACCCAACTCTCACACATTCTCAAAGTTTTGAGTTCCAAAAACACTTCAAAGAGAGATATCTTTTTTTTTTCCCTTGCCAAAGAAAGAACAAACAAAAAATCTTAGAGAGAGAGAGAAGTTAATGGGATTCGGCTTAGAGAACATCAAACAAATCTCCGGCGGGTGGGGCGCGGCGGCGCGTTCCTGTGACGCATGTCAATCAGTATCCGCCGCCGTGTTCTGCCGAGTTGACTCAGCCTTCTTATGCATCGCTTGCGACACAAGAATCCACTCCTTCACGCGCCACGAGCGCGTATGGCTCTGCGAAGTCTGCGAGCAAGCTCCCGCCGCCGTCACCTGCAAAGCCGACGCCGCCTCCCTCTGCGTCTCCTGCGACTCCGACATCCACTCCGCTAACCCGCTCGCTAGCCGCCACGAACGTGTCCCCGTCGAGTCTTTCCTCGAAACCGCCGTCGCTAAAATCTCACCTTCCACGTTTGGGATCCTCGCGTCGGATTTAACCGCCGCTCCGGTTCTTGGCGATGAACTCGGTTTGTGTCCGTTTTTGCTCCCTACCGAACCGGCTAAAACCGAGATGAAACCTTCTGAGTTTCTCTTTTCTGATTTCGATAGACTCATCGACTTCGAGTATCCAAACTCTTTTAATCATAACAGCTCCGGAGCAGACAGCCTCGTACCCGTTCAGACCAAAACAGAGCCTGTTCCGTTGACTAAAAACGACCACTGCTTCGACATAGACTTCTGCAGATCAAAGCTCTCTGCTTTCACCTACCCAACTCAATCAAACAACCAAAGTGTAAGTAAAGTAAAGTAAACTCTCCTCTAATTACTTTTTTTTTTGTGAAGGAAAAAAAATTACTTTAAGTCTAAAACTTTGGCCTCCTTTTTTTTTTCAGCTTTCGACTTCGTCTCTCGAATACGGCGTCGTTCCCGACGGAAACACCTCGTCGGAAATATCGATTCCGTTTAACCGGAGCACCACCACCACCACGATCACAACCTCGACGGGGACCACCGGGGATCAGACGAGCTCCATGAACAGGGAGGCGAGGGTTTTGAGGTACAGAGAGAAGCGGAAGAACAGGAAGTTCGAGAAGACGATCCGTTACGCTTCGAGGAAAGCTTACGCGGAGTCAAGGCCCAGGATCAAGGGCCGGTTCGCGAAACGGACCGAAACTGAAAACGACGACGTTTTCTTAAGTCATGTTTACGCTTCAGCTGCTCAGTACGGTGTCGTACCAACGTACTGATGATGATGATCTACGGTGGAAGTCGATTTACCGTTTGGTGTATTGGTATTATCATAGTGAGTCTTACCATAGACAAACAATTTATCCTTTTACCTTTTTTTTTACTGCCACTGTAAGACTGTAACTTTCCTCTCTGTTTATGAAATGCTTTAGTAAAACTTTTATAAAATAATAATATAATTTGGTAATTATAATTTCTCTATTGGCCGATTTTGTCTTGTCGCTATATTTGTTAACGGGAGAGGAGATTAGGTGGAGTTTGGCTTTTTTTAATTGTTTACATGTACCTCTCAAATCCTTATTAAGTATTTTATTTTATAATTAATCCCCTATATATTAATTGAGAAACATTTGAAAAGATGTAACCTCAAGTTTGTATTAATTAAAAAGTAACCTTGCTTAGTTGTCAATCAATTAGCATACCAATTAAACTGACGTGGCAGCTTTAGGTTCAATTGAAATTTGCTAGGGAAAAATAATTAGAGACGCATATAAAGCATGTAACATAGTTTATATATTTATATATATCGCACGCATACAATGGAAGAAAAGGAAAATATACGATTTGATAACGATTTGCATATATTAACTATAATAACTTCATTCCTTTTAATTTATGGAAGTGTATATGTAAAATGGAAATTACTTTGTGACCAAGTACATACTTAATGGTAAAGGCAAGTGTATATGTAAAATGTAAAACTTAATATGTTAACTTGGGAATTTATGTTAAACTTTNTACTAGGTGATTTTCCCGTGCTCATGCACGGATATGAATATTCATAAAAGTAAAATTTTATAATAATTGATTGATATTTAGTTTTAATTTTGAATCAATTTATAGAAATAATTTATATTAATAAATACTATATTATTCTAATTATACATATGACTTTGGGTATATTATTGTCGGTTAATTATTTCTTGGATCAATAGTCGGTTTGGTTATGAATTTGGTATATTAGACAATATCTATTTTCAAATTCATCTATAATACTTTTTATTTTAAATATAATTAAACTTTGATTAATTTTCTTATTTTCATTTCGGTTGGTTATTGTCTTAGATATGTAAATATATTATAGTTAAATTATGTATAACTTAATATATATTGTACTTTAAACGAAATAAATAATAAGCTGAAGTGTTCGATTTAAATTTACATAAATGAATATAATGATAATATCTTGAAGTCTCATGCATATATATAAATTCTACAAAAGAATTAAATTGTAATTGGTTAATATTTTATTTTTCTTTTTAATATTCTTTGAGTCAACCTCTAATTTATATGTAAGAAATTAAATAGATTATTATTATTATTGTTATTATTACAAAATTATATGTTCTTATTGTAGTTAGATGTTTAATTTTGGATATAAATTAGATTAGTCAAGTCATTCATGTTGTGACTATATTGAGTTAAATATATTTTTAAATTAAAATTGAAGTATAATTACTTTTTATTTTAGTTAAGTCAAATCAAATTAGTTATATTTAACGCTTAAGTATACATGTATTTCATAATATTTATTTACTCTTTAATTTAGTTAAGTCAAATCAAATTAGTTTTATTATCGCTTAAATATACATGTATTTTCATAATATTTAACAAATTATATGTTGATTTCTAAAAATATTAAAAAATAAAGTGTAACTGATAAATTTTTGGATGTTCATGAACATATATATTTGAAAATATATTTTATGTTATTTAAAATATATATTAATGGGGGTATTACTATTTTGTGAACTTTCCTTTTAAATAAAATCATATTATATACATATATTTTCGTTTTTTTTTT